TATATAAGAAGTAACGTCAACTTAGATTTTATTGGTAATAACAATGTAAATAGTATAATGGATGCTTAAATAATTAAATCAGTAAGTATAAAGACATAAGTAGATGTATAAATACGCATTTAAAAATATAATTAACTAGTTCTATTCAATTAATATTCTTGATACATTTGAAATTCTTAATAGTATGAAATTTCTAGTGGAAATATTGTTGAATTCTAATACGATTTATTAAACATATTCATAATTATTATATTAAATATTAATACATAGTAATAATAATATTACAATTTTCAAGTATAAATGAAAAATTATTATCTATTTATTTTTGCAATAATTGAACAAATAAATAAATTCAAGTTACGTTAAAGTTTTGGTAAATTTTAATGAAGAAACAAATATATCAAATATAATCATTTTCATTAGCTATTGTCAAAGTTACGATAAGTATATTATATTTTTAATATATAAAATAAAAATCAATAATTTGTGTTTACAATATTATTTAAAATATATTGTAATATATTTTAAATATTAAAATTAAATGCTGAATGTTTGTAAAATTGGTTTTTAAAACAGATTTATTTAATATTGAAACATTGTGGGATTAAGAAAACATGGGAATGAAATGGAATATGCTTTGCTTGTAATTAAAACACTGTAAATTACATTATATGTATATATATATATATATATATATATATGTATATATATATGTGTGTGTGTGTGTGTGTGTGTGTGTGCGCGCGCGCGTGTGCGTGTGCGTGCGTGCGTGCGTGCGTGCGTGTGAGTACGCGCCCGCGCGCGCGTGTATGTATGTATGTATATATATATATATATAAATGCGTATATATATATATATTCATCGTTTTACTCAACTTTGAATTATTCCACAATATGAATCGTATTACAACACATGCAATGTACTGTAATAAATATTACATCAAAATATTCTCTCCTTAACTCGATGTACATTATTATCATACATACAAGTGAATAAGACCATTACCATACCATTATATATAATTATATATTTCACAACATTTGCTAATTAAATCTAATCAATTGTGTTTATTACAACGTTACATAACTTGCAATTCTTCTCAATGTATAAAATTTGACAATTAATTAAATTTCTTTTAAATTGAAAATATCATATACAATAATATAAGATACATTTTCAAAATAATGTACCATGATCTCTTAAATATAATTAGCTTTTGTCTTTGCTAAAGACGCATCAATGCTTACAATTTATAGAATATTTATATATTTGATTATCTTTAGTTTGAAAGAAAAGTAATTTTTAATTATTCAATATTAGATATGATAAATAATATTAGTAATAATTTTTAATATTATATATAACTTATAGAATAGCTCGTTCTTAAATAATAAATATGTATCCTAAAATTTACTAAAATTTTCATTTCTTTTTTAAAGACAATAATGAAAATTGACATGTATATTAAAACATATTTTCAAATGATTTTGTACTTAGTTTATTCTGAATTAAAAATTTAAGATTACCCATTAAAGAAATATAATTAAATAATTAAATTAAGTAATCAAATAGAATTAGTAAAATACATTTATTAATATATTAATAAAAATACCAGCATAATAATAAATCCTAGTATAATACAATTAATAAAAGATTCAACTTTATTAAAAGATAATACATTTAAATTCCATTTTTATAGAGTAAAAATAAAAAGTTCTGTCCATCTGATTGTAATAAATAAGATACTTTTTTTTTATGATGGCGATTTAAAATTTTTTCGATATAAAATTTATAAATAGATGGTAAACATAATTGTAGATTCAAAAATTCTACTAAAATTGGTTTATACATTCGCTATATTTATACTTTCTGTTTACAGTAAACGTAAAATTATTTTTGTTGCTTTAAATATATATATATACGTTAATAATTTATTATAGATAACAACTATTGTAAAAGATATTTTATAAAGTAATATGCGGCTATTTACACACTTAAGCAATCTTTATAATCTTTATATTTTTTTTTTATATACATATGCATACCCACACCTATCTATACATCTACAATTTATGTATATATGTATAGTAATTGTGTATGCGTGTTAATACTTTCGTATGCATTATATGTGCATATGTATATGGATATATGTATACATATCAAAAGATATTTTATTAAAAATTAGTGTACATACTTTAATATAATTTTGATCTCTGTCACTTTTTAAATGTTCTAATTAGAAAGGGGATTCCGCACAATGGATAATAAAAATTATACATGTTCATTAAAAAAATTTGAAAAATCTATTTTTGAAAATTTCTGTCGCTGATTTATTTGTAAAAGAAAGCATGATTCATTATCCCAACATTCTGTTTTTCAAAAGATATCGGATTATTTTCACTGAGTTAGACGTAGATTTTGGCACTTGTTCATACTTGAAAAAGTACAGCACATTTTAAAATATTCATTCGATTTACAAATCGGCGCGCCTCACATGATGTGAAAATATGCACGAAAAAATGTTTCGTGACTTTTCTATCTACGTATAAGCTCGGTATATCATCAACTCCATTCAGGTACTTTACTAAACATTATTTAACATTCATAACATATGATGTGCATCTCAGCTACCATGTCATATGTTATTTTTATAGAGTAATTATATCTCTTAAGCAAAATAAAAATAATAAAAACTTATTAACAAATACATAATCGGAGAATATAAAATAGTAAAGTTTATCATGAAAACATATGAACGTTTTGACAACTCCAAAAGATAAAACATTTTCCCTTGTAGAGAGGAAGGAACAAATAAAGAAACGACGATTCTTTGTTACGAAAGATTAAGAGAGGCCAAAATATAGTCACTTGGCTTCTTTCTTACAAAATTTATTTTATCGCCAAAATAAATATTCTCCTTTAATCCATTAATGCTTATTCAAAAATCAAAGGTATCGATTTTACAATATACATTATATTAGTAATATTATATTTCAATGTTTTTCATCACTGAGTTTTCCGCACATTTATTTTGTAATTTCATTACAAATATTTAATATTTAGTTCAATTAAATATTTGATGTCTCAATTATAAATTTATATATGAAAGCATAACTTCATAAAGTTTATGCCACCCCTGTGGATTCATAGATTAAATTTATTGATTACAATCTATTTAAGCTGCCATATTTTTATTTTGCATTTTTAAATCGTAGAAAGAAAATTGTTATAATTTCTCTTGTTTCCTTATAGTTTAGAATAAAAATTTTCAGTGAAATTTTACGTTACAAAAAAATGCTTGCATATGCTATCGAACTTTATTCACGCATCACAGATATCTGTCTTAGTTTTTAATTTTCAATGTATAAAAGTATTATACATTCATGTAACAAGAAATTCAGCATACAACAAATTTTTATAATAGTTATATATTTATATAATAATATTATTCCACTAATGGATTTTACAGTACTGGAATACAGACATTAAACTGTCGCATTTGTTGTCCAATTAATCATCCAATATTTCATGAAATATAAAATGTAATTTATAGTCTGTATTCCATTATTTTTAACGCAAATATCGTACGTTATAAAGCAATATTATACAACAGATATTACCTTTAAAACCACCGATACTTGCAAAATGTTTACATATCTCTGAAAGGATAAATTGTACGAATGTTTCATCTATACTTCTTTCAGATTAATTGTATAATATATTATAGAATGTTTTAAAAACTTTCTTCTTTCCTTACGGCATTACCGAGGCAAAAAATATAAAACTTATCGATTCGTTTATCCTCTAATGAGATGTACTATTTTATTTATTAACGTAAAGTTAAACGCTCTCTTGCATAATTAACGTGGTAGTTGAGCGCAATGCTGCATTGAACTCCACCGATATCCGTTCATCCAATAGAAATGGCAAGGTGAAATTATTTTGATCGTTCTAACTAAATATATCTCTCGGTTACTCTTGGTCTTCAGCATCATATTCCAAAGTTACATCTAGTTTAAATTTATTTTGCGATCCATCAGTTATGTCGCCATAATAATCAAAGAACCACAAGATTAAGGAAATAGTATCCGCACACGACAAAATTGAACTTGCTTCTCTAATCTCGATCACCGAGATGAGGTAAGTCGAACTAAAAGGGCGGACCGTTCACTATCGCGTAGAGGAGTCATACTCTCTGCAAGCAAATTGAAGTGTGGACCTCCTGTCGCGGAGTGCTCGACCTCGTCATCGCCGGAAATCATCATCAAGTTGCCGCCTCCGCTGCCGCTGTTGCTGCTGCTGCTGCTGCTGCTGCTGCTGCTGCTGCTTAAGCAACAACGATCGCCACAAACGCGTTGGCGTATCATGGCCAACGACATCGTTGGTGCTACTAAAGTCATCACAATGATCCATTCCTGGACCTTCTAGTATTAAACTTTATCAAACCTGCAATGATGATTTACGTCAAAAGTTCATTATTATTTACACGTAGTTCATGTAGCAGAGTACACGGATCTTCTACTACGAGCGCAAAAGATACGACGCAGAAGATAATACAAACAATTAAGAATTGACTAAAGTGTATTTTTGGCGCGAGTAGTGGTTACGTAATGTACGAATAAGCGCCACAAGGCTATGGTGCCGTGGCGTACATTGATTATTTAAAGAATCAAAGGAAAGTGAAAATTTTCAATCACAAGTATCCAAATGGGAGCTAAATTGAATATCCATTCACGTATTCCCGTGGCTGAATGAGAAAGTATATTACAGTTTATCGAATTAGAAAGCACGACCCAGTGGAATTGTGAAAAAATCGATTTACATTGCGCAGAGACATTGTGCCACAGTTCATTTCCATAAGCCACAATTCTCTCTACAATTAGCAGTTAAATATTAATGTACCTTTTCTCCTCTAATATTTCCTCGGATTTTCTGCCTTTTATTGCAGCTTTACAAGGCCCCTGTACAACCGTTTACTACCTCGTACTATCCGTTACGTTTAATTCACTTTTAGCCCGTAGAAGATGATGATTCGGCCTAGGCTCGGCCGTCCTATCATTATACCAACCTTCCACAGCAGCAGGTGATTTGTCGAGTCTTCACGACCCGCCTGCAGCTCCGCCGAGGCCTGAGGTCCGCGGAAGTCCTCGTAGCCATCGCCGCCGGATATGACGAGGAGACGGCCGCGCTCGGTAGCGATGCAGCTGCCGGCGCTCCCTGTACTGCTCGAACTGCTTACGCTACTTTGTTGGGCCACCAGAGACCTACCGCCCTTCAGCGAGTAGCGGCTCACCTTCGGGCGTGGTTCGATCTTCGGCGGACTAGCAATTTCCACGCAGGTGAGGAAGCGCACGTGACCAGTATGACCGTGGGGTATACCTGCAATTAAGTGGACAAAAACGTTATGAGCGGACATCGTCGCGAGCAGTAATCGTGCCAGCAATCGTGACGTAATGATTAATCGTGCTGGTCATTATAGTAAAGTCTTAAACTTGAACATCACAGAGAATAATTGAGAATTGGCTCGGTTCAATGCCTGTTGTCCTCGCTTCTAAAAGGAGCGGCACTAGCGTCAAGCAAGGTACATTATATTTGCAAGTTTCCAGGCAAAAGATTCGAGAGGTATATCTCGTTGTCTCGGTAGTGTGCTCGGATCTGCCTTTGGATGCGTCATTTGGACGATCCCAGCTACAATGAATATTCGTAAGCCATGGGCGAGGTATACGTACCAGTAACCGAGGGTGCTTGCGACATCCTTTGCGTCGATGGCTTGATGTGAGGGATGGGTACGGTTAGAAGAACACCGGCGCTAGTACCAATCCACAAAAGTTCGTTGCACGCCAGTAATGCGGTAACCCTTAAGCACGCGGCCTTGTGCTGTCGTATTATGTCATCGCAATCTGCAACGAGAGGAATGTGTTTGTTAAAATAAATTTCGCAGTGCGAACAGAAGCTTGGGGCCTGCGCATTGAGAACACTGCGGTAGGAGATGGTAAAGCGTTTATCGAAAGGTACGCCTGGGCTTCGGCTCTTTTTTAATTAGGAGTCGATATTTCTAGCGGAGACGACCGTTTCACGGTGCGGCTATATCGCCCATAAGTTGCACCCGGCTTACTTCCTCCCGCGAATCTCCATTAAATGGCTTACGAGCCAAATACTTAGTCCGAGTCGACACTTACTGGCAAGCATGTTTGTCACTGGAGGTGCGATGTTGACGTCGGCAAGACATTCGTAGCTGCCCGCGTGAAACAGTTTGAGGACCGCGCTGTTGTGCAGCGATATCCATACTCCCAGTCCGCCAGAGCTCGCCATACAGGAAATCGGCCGATTGTTGTCGCTGCCCACGCAAAATGCGTGCTCGATGTCCAGGGTGTAAGTATTGAGTATCTTAATGGTATTGTGATTGGCGCACCAGAGCTTACCCGAGACGGGCAGCATTTTCGTGACGGGCGACGCTACCGTGCCGACGGACAGAGTCGTCGGATCCATTGTATTCCAACCGCCGACTAGAAAGATTGTAAAATGTGGTTTTTTGTACTTTCGCATTAGCGTTCGACCCTGACCATCGCGACCCACCCATCAACACACGCACGTATCGCTTTTGTAATTGCTCTCGTAGTGGAATGAAATTTTCAATATAACCTCTGTAGTTTACGGCGCCTAACGCTACTTTATATCTATTATCGCTTTATATTCGCTATACAAGCTCTACTGAATAATTCGCTGAATTTATTATTGTCTTATTATTGGCATTAATAATTGTACTTACGATGGTCCCTTGAATAGACGGTAATGTCGCCATTCGCCAACGATACAAATACTTTATTGTCCAAATATCTGGGAAAGACCGAGAATTAAAAAATTTAGTCATCGATGTCAATTGCCTGTAAACGTTCACATAAATGTAAATTAGCCCGGTATCGAGAAGTCAGTTATGGAATTATTTTATTATTAATTTAGACATTAATTTATTAGTATTATTTTAACTACGTTTTTTTCAATCTTTTTTCTTTCAACGGTTCAATTTAATTTTGTCGACGAGTCATCTGGTCGTGGAAACAGAATTTTCGATACCGGAACTAATGAAATGACGAGAGTAATCGGTAATTTACATAATACAGTGTACGCTACTCCCGTGCTGCAATTTAATCTTATTTTTTTTAATTCGTATATTGTCGCTACAATTGTAGACGTGCACACAGCCATCCTCGGTACCCAACCACATGGTCGGCTGGTTAAAGTCCTCGTCGATGGTGCCACCCTCGAGGCTCGACACGTCGCCGCCAAACGACGTGCTCGCTGTGTCCGCGCATGGAATGTCGTCCGAATCCGAGTCGTCTGAACTTGAGCTGCGATATTAAAAATTGCATTAACATTTAAGAACGTCATTGTGGAATAGAGCGATCGAAAGCTTTCAACTTGTAATATCAACATGTAATCCTTTGAAAACGCCGTGGTCGTGGGCGGAGGAGTCTATCAAATGTTTTTCTAAGCCACCGAATCAACTAAATGATCAGAATTGCAAAATTATCAACTGTTGCAAATATATTCGGGCTAATTATTGCACACATTTAATGTAAAATAATCATTTACATTAGATTTAACAACAAGAAGAAGTTTTTAACAAAAAGAAGTTCATAAATTTACTGAATAATAGTTTCGCATTGTGCTGCATTGCAGTGTATTATAAAAGAAGTAATGCCGTCGTGATTATTTCAAAAGTAATATCTTGAGAACAATATATTTCAACCTGCATAATCAAGGCATGATTTAAATAATCATTTTTAAGAGGAATTGGCAATGCGCCGTGGATATCAACACTCGACTTGCCCATTTACGGTAATGCTCCTATACACGTTCTATGTGTAGTGACCGTGGCAATGAATTGTGTGCTGAGAATAAGCGCGAGAAGAAGGGAGGGGTTGAGCGATGAGGGAGGCGGGGACGAGGATTACTCGGATCTGTAAAATTGGCAAGAAAAGTTAATGGAAAAAAGTAACGAGTTTGGTATTCGAATAGTCGAAAGCAGAATGGGAATCAACTTTGAGAGCTCGACTTAGCCACCTATTGCGGCACAATATATCGCACACTTTGTTATTTTAAGATCCCTATGTAGTACCTTGTCACAATAAATTCATAATATCCGTCCATTGTCGGCTAATTAGCCAAAGAATTTTCTAACTCATAGGCGACGAATTAGGCTTCGGCTTTGAAAAACGTAAATAACTAAAACCTTTTTCTGGTTCTAACTTTCGAAAAATTAGTATCAATGACGAAAAATTCACGTATGCGCGTACACTTATATTTTAATAAAATCAATAATTGATTAACTCAACGACACATGTATATAAAAATATATTAAAACATTAAGTAAAAGTTATTAGTTGAGGATAAAATTGTGTGTTTGCGCGCGCATGTGTTTATGCGTGTACGTGTTTTGTGTGCGTAGGTATTTTGTGCGTGCGTCCGTGCGTGCGCGTGTGTGAGAAATTTGATTTGATCTTATAATTAAAATATGAGCAGTAAAAATATATGTAATTGTATTATTTATTATATTAGATATTTTTAAAGCGACAAATTAAATTAGGAAAATCTAGATTATTTAAATTATGCCAAAAAGAAAAATTTACTGATGTACGAAAGCAATGATATATAAAATCTTTCATACAGCTTTATTTCCGATTATTATGATATATTTATTTACAGAATACTTTATAAGTAAATCATTAAGTTTTAAAGGAGATCCAATAACCATACATATTGATAATAACGTGTTCAATTAAGAATGCAAAAATTATATTTAAAATCCCAAATAAGAACATAAAGGCAAATTAATTATCCTTGGCAAGTATATCTGTCTGTACGTTCTGAATAATTATCTCAATATCATTTGAAATTTCTTTTTATCAAATGCGTATTTTAGTTTATATTGCCGAAAAATACAATACGCAATAAAGTGATGTAATTTAAAAATGTCCTGACCGATATTAATTATTAAAACAATCTTTCGAAATGAAACAATAATATTAGCTTGGGAAAACATATTGTTAGTATTAGTCAATCACCAAGTCATACAAAAGTTTTGTTCGACAGTATATTAGCTCGATAATCCTGCATAAACACTTCTAATACTGTTATTCTATCATGCAGGTATTATGCTCACATTACATTGTAAGTATTAGAAACAATGAGAACAATTTCAAATTATCCGAGTACCTGTCCAGTTGAATATTGCCACTACTTGTGTCCGTATTTTGCACCACGACACCGATACCACTTTTATTATTTATGGAGGCATTGTTAATAGGTGCACAGGAATTCGGTCTATAAAGAGCGTAGGAATATAATATTACAAATTCCTGTATTAAATGCTATTCTAGAGATAATTTTTTAACGAATGTGTAATTAATAAATATTGATATCGACAGTCATTATTTTGTGCATTTTACATAATGGCAGAAAAAAAAAATAGAATCAAAATCAATAAGATATTAAAAATAATCTCAACTTCATCAATTTACAATATTAACGAAATAAATAATAAAAAAATCAATGCCCTAGAGGTGATAATAGTAATGATAACAATAATAAAAAACATAATAATAATAATAATTCTTAAAGCATAATTACATGTTCCTTATCATTTGAATACGGTATTTTTTAATCAATTATAACAATTATCGCAAATGATGCTCGAAAAACTCACACGGACGTGCAGGCGGGAATCCCGGCGACACAGAGGATCCTCGCGTTGCACACACCATTGCAAGAGGTAACCTGCGGGGGCTCGGGACTTAGGCTGAGCACGCAGACCTGGCCGACGTAGCCGTCGCTATTGCAAACCCAGACATCTCGGACGCCCTGGCTGTTGGCGAGCGTCGGGGCCGCGCACGTAAACTGCAGACCCGCTCGCGTTTTCCTGATTGGCAACGGCCCAACGAACTCAGGTACTGGTCTGCGATCCGTCGAGGCAGCTGAGAGAAAAAGGCCAATTATCATTATAATGTTGCTCGTATAAAGGCTTTGACGCGATTATGTTGATACTAATTGCCATGTAAATTAAGACATTTTTTTTTTACCCAATGAAGCAATGTGTACTTTGGCGTGGACTAGCTTAGCGTTGAGAATATTTTGACTTTCGTTCGAATGATTTTAAGTGATTTTCCTTCTTTTTTTCTTGCTGTACAATTGATTTATATGACATTCGAGTGTTTATATAAGGGGAGTCGAGAAAATTATAGTATTTCGTACTAGTATAAACCAATGGAGAATAAGGCAACAAGCTGTTGTAAATTGTCCAATACAGTTACGATAGAGTTTTTATTATCACGCATTTGCCGAAACATATATATATATATTTTTTTTTTTATGGCCTTTAATGAATTATATAGGAAACGGTAAATGATAAATTGATAAATGATAAAAGGAATGATTGACGTATATGGGAATTATTCGATAAATTCGTATAAACTCGAGAGATGGCGCCTTCGGTTCAATTTTAAGGCCATTTCTCATTTACGACATCTCTATTTCAAATCCGCATCAAATTCAAATCCATGTTTTATTCATTATTTATTATTGACAGTTATTTATATGGATGGAGAATTAGAATTTTTTCAGACTTTTACGGCAGACTGATGATTTGAAATTTTCAAACACAAAAGGACACTTGTAGGTACATTGAATTTCAATAAACAGCACAGAGGTTTATTAAATAATTGCAAAAAGTTGTCGAAAACTAATCAAGTAAATCAAGTAACAATGTAATAAAATACAATATAATTGATAATTAAATAATCGAAAAATCAATAAATTCTTGTTGCGATCGATTACAATTAATCTAAAGCATGGATAAGTAAACTTTTCTAAGAATAATTTAAGAGTATTATTTGGAATAAATTTTTATAATGCTTTTTTAATAATCACTGAAGCTTCAATTTTTTTTATTGTTAATCTTGAATGAAAGAAGAGATAAAATTATAAATTACAGTAATTAAATATTTTAATCATCGAAATATTATGATTATTATCTTTTACGATGCCCATGACACATCCTTCATATATTATTGAATAATATTATAACTATACAATGCAACATAATGTTATTTTTGGTTAAATTTATTAAAGCAATTTGTCTTAACCGTGACAGTCACAAAGCAACAATATTCGGAACATATTTTTTAAAATTGAATGAATCACGATAAATTATAAAATAATATCTTTTATTAATTATTCGTTAAAATTTCCATTAATTGGAAAGTGCTGCAGCATGCATAATCATACGCGTGTATAATATTTAAATTTTTAATTGCTTATAAAACTTTTTACATGATGATACTAAATTAACGAGGACAATGTAAAATAAAATATTTACTAACAAGTTGCTTTTAAATTCCTTGAAAAATCGCTCTTTACTAAACTTGAAAAATGAAAAATGAAAACATAATGCATAAACTGCATAGTAAAAAAAATAAATAAATGAATAATAAATTAATCGAGACCTTGCTTAATGAATTTTCGATTACTATCATAAATATTATTGATTCCTTGGAGATAAACCAATTCTCAATGACTTACCTAATTTTTGTTTAGCTTCGTTGAAGCTTTCCTCCCAACTGGCTCGTTTATCTGGCTTTGCAAACATTACCGAAATATTTTCCATCCCAGCTCTGAAATTATTTCACATTTGTTTAACAGAAAATTGCAACAAATCTCAGCTAGCAATAAAAAGTATTTCTTAAATTAATTTAATCTTCTATTTCTAAATCATAGGTATTACTATGAGTTGTGCATTACATTATAGGAAATTGAAATAATAAAATTTATCAATTTATACCCAAGCTCAAAGTTTGATAAAAATATGTTTTACTCTTGAACCAAGTGATGGTAATATATTTATTAAGCAGGATTGGTGCATTTTCGGGACATCTATTTTTCCATATTTCTAAAGTATCATTCCTCGCTAATTACTTACTGTGTATTGAGCGTAAGCTCTAAGCAAGCCAATTGCGAATGAGCCGCATTTCGTTCTGCCAATTGTTTTTGCGTCTGCCCAAGCATCTCCCTAATGAGATCTTCCAGCTGCTGTTTAGCTCCGTGTAGAGTTGCTGCAAGCTCCTGCAACTGATTCAGGGTCGCGCAATCCTCTCTTAAGTAATCGACTTCACGCGCCATACGTCTCAGGTTCTCATCTTTGGCTGGAAAACCAAACAGTTTTCCCCGACTGCTTTAGGCTTTTCATTTAATAATAAAAGTTAGTAGTTTCTAGTTGTAAGCTCCCAAGACATCCATTTATAAGTAATAAATGCTCTTTATTCTCAACATTAACATACAATAACAAAAATTAATAACATAACAATCATGCCTACTGGAATGAAAGTCATTATCTAAAGAAATGCCTAAAGGTATTAACATAATAACTCCCAAACTGACTCTCATATAAGACATAATTTCTTATTAATAGATATTTTATTAATTAGGGGCTTTTATCATTTTGCTAAATTGTTATAAATAGTCGTTATTTATTTCATAAATTTTAATGAAATGAATGTATAATAATAATAATAATAATAACAATAATAATAATAATAATAATAATAATGTGTGATATTAAAGAAATGCAAATGCGAATATTTATATATAGATCGTTAGTAATGAGTTAGTTACCTTTCATAACTTCCAAATCATCTAATGAAATCCTCATTAGCATCTTGTATTTGTTCGCTTCTAATAATCCAACTAAACTATTTGGACAAGAGCTTCTGTTGAAAAAAAAGAATGAATCGTCTCATTAATAAATGTATGCGTTATTAAAATGCTTTGTAAATTGAGTTCTCAATTAGCATAATGATTTTTAATTTCACTTTGCCATTTTAAATACAAACTATATAAATTTATATTATTTTATAATAGGCAATATTGTAAATTTATTAGTATTTAATTTAGTAGTAAGATTTTATCTTCAAAAATGTGAAATGTGTGCATGGTAAAAATTTGTCTTTCTAATACAAAATTTTGAAATAGAGAAGCGGATATAATAGAATGAAATGTTCATTGACAAAAGTTCTTTAACAGAAAAGAGGAGTCTCTAAAGACTAAAATACTAATAACATTATTTATAATAGATTTTGCCAATACTTAGCTATGATTATGTTGGCTATTTTATTGCAATGTAGCCTTCGGTATTTTATAGGCAAGTTTATTTATAAAATTTTCGACGTAATGTAATAACTAGTGAAACTTGTTCTAAATATCTATGCTTATAATAACCGTAAATTTATCCATTGCTATTTGTAATCGTTGTATGTTCGTAAATCGAAAATTAAAACGCAAATAATTTATACTAACGTAGATGGTTTCCTAATAGTTCCACTTCGTCGTTTTATGCTAGTGATAACGAGAAGATCCGAGAACAGAAAAAGCCCCCGTTCCTTCCGCGTGCCTTGATTCGATGCAATACTTACTAGATCATGCCGAATGAAAGCCCTGTTAAGGAAATCAGACGATTTTAAATACGATAGAGACAAAGAGATAAAGTTTAGAGAGAGATAGATAGATAGAGAGAGAGAGAGAGAGAGAGAGAGAGAGATTACATAATTAATGAGGTATTCACTGATATTCATTAGTTGCATGAAATGTAATTTTAATTTGAAGCACTCGATAATTGGAAAAATTAATGATGGTGGGAACAATAGATTTACCCTTTGTAAATTAAATGAAAAATAAAAATAAAACTTTATAGAGTTCATAGAGCTTTATACATTTTTCAACCGATCATAAAATATTTTTTTGCAATTCACAGTCGAACATAATTCGTTACAAAAGAAACTTTCGCCTCGTATCACACGAGGACAGTTAAAAATACCAGGAAGACGAACTAATTGAATAAATTGCGATGTAAAAGAAAATAAATGGATAGGTAATCCTACTCGCCTGTCGTTGGTTACAATTCCAGCCAAGCCCTCAACAAGGGACTGCACCTCCTTCAAGGTCGTCTGTTGTTGCTCCCACTCGAGTGACTCCCGTTCCGTGCAATTGATCTTTACGACGAGCTCGTGAACCTCCTTCAGTGCGGCGGTAAGTAGCTCGTAATCCGGATGTGATGTGTCAGTGTGCTTGAGCAGCCGCTGGATCAGTAGCTCGTAGCGCGGGATCTTTTGCACGGGCTTGATCAGCAGTTGGTCCAAGCCAAGTTTTCCCTTGTGCTCGCGCTCCATGGTCTGTGAATTTTATGATTTTGTCTCTTGTTGGTTAAGCGAGTGACACTGTCGTTAAAATAAAGGGCTTATCGAAATTGGGAACGACTTTCGATTTTATGTGTGACTTTCAGCTTAAGTTCTAGTGTCCTATCACTTTTCAAAGCGAAACTCAGCACTCAGGGATAATGATCTTCGATAAATGATTGGATTTTTCTCGATATAAAATCAAATGACTCCTCCCTACTGTTCTAAGTATTTTATCTCGTTTGATTTCGAGCTTACAGGCTTCTATTTTTCGTTAATTCATTGAATAATCATTTTTTAATTTCTTCATCAAACTCCTTTTATTATCGTCTAGTTAACAAGGTTTGCATATCCGTTTTATGGGATACCAATGAATTTATCATTAAAAAATTTATACCGTTACCTCTGTATTATTTACTTAGAAATTTGAAAATTTATTAGAAAATTTGCGGTAAAAATATTCGATGATTATTGATCAACAGCGGTTCTTCTTTAAATTAACGAATATATTTATTCTGCAAGTACCGACCTGAATTATGTATCGGAATTATGAATTAAACATATACATATTTTGTCTTTATAAATATTCAATTAAGCATGTAGCATTTGGTAAACTCTATAAGCTCAAGATATTATTGAATCTATTAAATCAGAAGTTTTATTAAATAATTAAACTATATATTCCACATAAAGTTTTTTCTTTCTCCGTCTCTAGAACGCCTATTTCATTGCGATATGCATTGCAATTAAGAAACTTTGACAACGCTAAATCATAACATATCATTTATTATATTCCTCGAAAAGTTTTATTGTCCAAATTTTTCACCTATGCAAGAAAAATAATATTAAAATTAAAAAAAAAATAATAAAGAACAAAACCAATTAGAAAGATAGAATAATACACAGCTTTATAGTCTGTGTATTATGCGACAAGCAAGTAGACGCAGTTGTACTCACCTCGAGAAAACGGGCGAAAGCCGGTTTGGCTTGGCATGTCGTCTTAATAGCTTTCTTCGCGGATTTCCAATTGTCGAGGAAGAGCGCGTAAGTTTCGAGAACCACGGGTTTGGTGAACTATGATAAGACAGGCAGCAAGTGAGAGAGAATATGGGGAAGAAACTAGTGGGAGGGAGTTTTATTCGTTAAAAAGGCTTCTCCTCGTGTAAATTGCAATTGAAGAGTGGATTAAGTAATTTCAGGGAAAGCCTGCATATATATATATATATATATATATATATATATATATATACAAACACTGAGGGTGGTAAAGTCAATTAAGTTAATCGAAAAAGTAAATAAGGTGAAAAAAAAGTCCCTCACCACCTCGAGAAAAACGTCGCCGATTGTTTGCCGTAGCTCCCAAGTCTCCAAGCGCTTGCGTAATTCCTCCAGAAATACTTCATGATGGCTGAGAATTGCTGGGACCTACGAGAGAAGGAAAAATCTTACAACCCAGTTACCCCTACGATACAACCCACTTTGATAATACAATGCTCCATATTTTTAACATTTGATATTTTTGACATTTTAAACATTTGACTCTATTCCACGTTTCACTTACCATCCGCAAATGCATTACCATAAAAAGGAATAGCAAAATTACTGAATTCAGCTTATTATAAATAAATACTAAATTTAAACATTAAATGTTTAAATTTTAACAATTATTTATGTCCAATTCTAAAATGTCTATCATCCTTAATCGAACGATCACTGTTATATTCATGTATAATCCATGGCGTTAAAACGTATTTATTATAGAAAAGGAAGTATTATAGAATTTAATGAAATTCTTTTTTTTTCTAAATCATTGAATGGAATTTAAAAATAATTGTAAAGTACGACAGTAGGGTAGGACGTCAATGTATCTGAAATTTTATTTTGTAAACTTTGTGTTCTTTAAATCAATTTCCAATGCCCATTTCTAAGTATTCATCCATTATTTAATCTGAGTGGGAGAGCATGGGAGATAGACAGAGAGCGTGAATCATTGTGATTTTTCACACCGTAAAATAATACGACAACGAGATCAATCGACGAGCTAAAATAGTTAAGCAAATGGGAGAGATTCGATATTACCTGATAGAATATCTCGTCAACGATTCCGGCATCCACGAGATGTGCATTCTCTGTACTCTTCAGCGGCTGCAAGTATTTCTGAAAGGGTAAGCAGATATTCAGGCTATCGCTCGTGCAATTCGTATAATGCGTATGGAGGATTATTGAGAGCGATAATCTCTAATAAACGTGCTAATACAAATGGTTGTGGTTCGAGTTTGGCAATATGCCGCAACATATGTTAGGAGTATATCGATAGCTTTTATAATCATCACTTCCTCATGCTGAAATAACAAATAAGAACTGTAATTGATTTGCCAACTTTAAAACACTGATTTAGTCCTATTGTTTTGTTCATTGAAATGTTCTTAATAATGGTGATTTAATTTTAAGTTTTATAATCGGGCAGGTTTGTGCATTATATGAACAAATATATTACTTATATTGCTTAATACTTATATATACTTATATTGCTTAATGATAGTTACTTTATAACAATGTATATTAACTATATATTAACTAATTGATCTCACTTGAGACGAATTTTTTTCTTTTGACACTAACTTATATCATTAAACAACAATCAAATTTTATCATTTTAAACTACTTTCATCATTGAAAAATAAAACTCAATTCCAATTAAGTTAAGCTTAAGACTGTAAAAATCTTTATTCCTACTATTTTATTATCCGACTAATTTTATTATTTTACTATATAATTATGTATAAAGATAATTATGCAATAATTATTAAAATTATATTTTCCCTTAACCAATATAAGTTTAAAGTACAATAACATATTGGATAGGAGATGCTTTATTTTCGAGTACTTTTTAGTACTTCACGATAGCATTGTAGACTTTGATTCACATTAGATATTTGGACTTTAATTCATACATTCTTAATAAATCACTAAATTTCTCTTAGAATTATGTATATTATTAAGCTTTTATTCCTGCAAATACATTTACTAGTAACGTTGCAAGGATATAAGTATTGTGATATTAAAGTATTTAATAATTCTATGTAATATCTAATATATTTTAATAACGTTTAGATTTATCTATATGACGAATGTTTTATATAAGTTGAAACTCTGATAAAACACTAAGTATTTTTGCTATAAATATAGATTCACAATTCATAGAATTGGCACTCCACTGATTAATGGCGACCACTCGTTTTTTTTTTACTCAAAATGAAAACTTATATCGTCCCATCTTAATTCTCTTATAAAATGAATGTATATTATTTGACATATAAAAATGAAATACAAGAATACAATAAATGATCTTTATTTTTTTATTCATCACAATGGAAAGCCTTGTAATATTCGTTTTAAATAAATTGATATAACTATTAAGTGTGAAGAACATTAAAATACGAAAAGAATGAGACATAAATTAATATTTAAAATTACGTATAAAAGAATCGACATATTACAAATATCAATTTAATTAAAACTAATAAACGAGTAATTTATGTTTTATTTCTAACGCTGATATTGTTCATCGACTGGCTTTTGCACAAAATATATTGTTTAAAAATTGTACGAATATGTAGTAAGAACTCAATTTTTTTTATAAGCTTTACAATAATAATAGTGCATAAAAATTGTTATCATGTGAGAAAAATGTTCAATTCTAATTTACCGGAAGTGATGATTAAAAATGTTATCCCAATGTTAAATATGTCAATTACGTTAACTCGTACAATTTAAATCTTATTTCTTTTCATTTTCAATATAATTTTCAATATTATCAGTGCTACTATTGACCATATAAATCCTAAGCACTAATACTTGCAATTCAATTAATAATTGTTTTAGAAAAATTGATATTGTCATATTTATATAATTGCATATAAAAGTATTTATTTTGACATTACAGGTATAATTGAGAAATGGAAATGGAAAAATTAGTTCAATTATGAAATAAATGTAATTGCTTACAAACGAAAGCTCATAATTATTAATTATTTTAAATGGATTTATATTAATTTTAAAGTTTCTTATGCACTATGATATATATAATATTTCAGTTGGATTAAGCTTAAAATCTACATAAATATGAATAACTTGTGCATTCTATTTATAATAATAGCAAAGGTTATTTACATTACTAGGATAACTAAACATTATTAATTCGTATAATAATGTATGGAATACCTTTTTTCTATCTACACAGGTAATTAATTTTATATATTTGCTGCTTAATAAAAATAAACTCTCATTAATATACTATAAAGTATAGTAATAACCTGAATAATTTAATTTTCATTCTACATTGATTCTACATCGAACAATTCTCTAAGAGAAAGATTATGTTTATGAAATACAACCCTACCGTTTAACAACTTGCTATCACAAAAATTCGATTATTAAAATTTCACGATTACTGCATTTACACAGATACCTGCGATAGCATAAAATAACCTGAATTTCACAATATCGTGAGTAAAAAAGTCTATGTGATCGAATGCACCTATTAATATAAATTTTGCACATATATTCTTGTGAACGCAGAAGCACGTATGCTTCCACCAAATTGACCTCGAAATTCTGCACGTCTTAGGCCACGAATGTGCAGTACGGATCTGTGGCATATGGCGCCTTTATGATCGAATGCAATATATATATATATATATATATATATATATATCAGTAGTATGAAATTCATAGTTCATAGTAATTTAGCTTCACATATTGTGATTAAATTACTGTATTCGTGTTATACTTTTTACACGCTTTCTTATTCATCTGACTATGGTATACTATTTTTCTACATAGCAATTCTCGCTTTATTATCAATTATGTTGAAACTATTAATTTAACCAATGAGAATCTAGCTTAAATTAGTAATAATGCTGATTTAATAAATAAGTCATTTTGATGACGAAGTTTTGAATATATTTCCACAAACATAAAAAAATCAAAATATAAAAACAATTTCTAAAATAAGCAAAATTTTTTTTTCTTTACAAAGAGCCGAACTTTATTGCACGTAACGAATGAAAAACTATATACTTTGAACTGTACATAAATATATGTAGAAATGTGTATATTTATCTCTGTATCAGTATATTTCCTTCATTTTAATTTTAGTAAAGGCACATGTCAAACTGTCAGAATGGAAGACTATTTTATTTTAACTTGTCCATAGTTTAAAGAAATAAGTCCCAGATTTCAAAATCACCATTGGTTTTAAATAATAAGTAGCAATTAATGATAGTATATATTTTTCTTTTCTATTCTGTAACGTACTATTGATAAAATTAATAAAATACATATCGGCGAATCAAGGAGATGCAATATGTGCATATATCAATGCTTTTTCAATTATTAATGAAATTTACGTTTAATATTAAGAAAGTTTTAAACATCAAATCATCCGAGCTATACCACCACCACGGCAAATATGTCAATTGTCACAATCATTAATATTACAAGAAAAAAGCGTGGAAAGAAATAGCGATAGCTATCTTAACTAATGCGTTCTTTCTCTAATTCTCCTACACATGTATGTATATATAAAATTCATGAGAGCAATGTTTTCTGAAAGCGCACGCGCTGCGTAATTCGGACCACTTTCCTTGTAAAGAAACTGAAAACTTTTCATCGAGGTCTTGGCCGTTCGAATCAGTGGCGGTCGAAAATTAGCCACATATACACACCGGTGGAGCATTACATTCTTCGTCGAGGCTAAAACTGTCTGTAAGTCAAGAAAACATAGTTTACTATTCTATACTGCTTATAGGTTAAACTCTAAATGAAGAGAATAGAAATAGTAATCTCGATTTTTTTCGAAATGTGGGAAACAATAAGTGATTTGCATCCTTTGTTTTATGTTAAAATAAAAATCGAATGTATTAATAACGCGCCAAGTTGGAAGGATATATGTTTTAATTATTAAAATTAAATTCAATATTAAAGTTAATAAATATTAATTTACTAAACATAGGTCAATTAATTTTCAATAGATACATACATAATTACATACACTTTCTTCATAGAAATTTTAATTTATAAATAATCTTTGTATTTAACACTATTTAAAGCAGTTACATTTTCGTCTATTTGACAACTACTAAGTACTTCATTTTTTTCCCTTTTTTTTCTCTTGTAATTCTTCATTTATATTAAAGCACTGGGAAGCTACTCTTCTTCGTAGTTCACGTTTGATTATGATTATACTGCCGTTAAAAGTAAGAGTGCAGCGAGCGATTCAGTGGACCAGAATTATGGGTTGACTGAGCGTTTATGAACGAATAAACAAACCTTATTTACTATCAGAAAATCATTGAGGTGTCTGTATTATTAAAGTACTCTCACAGCCTTATTACGTATAGCGTATAGTAAATTATTTTATAAAAACAATAGCCGTGTGAGAAATATTCGTCCGTGAAACCATGAAATAAAGATATTTAATTGAAAAATAAGCTGTCGTTTATGAAGAACTACATAGTTCTAATTGTACATGGTTAATATTTCTACTATGTAATGAAAAAAAACAAAAAACAAAAACAAAATGTAAAAGCAATGTATTAAGTAGATTTATTTATTTAATTTACATTTCATATTTATTTTATTTATATTCCATAAATATTAATTTTTTAAATAAAATTATAACCATTACAATTATTATATACATGTATATCATGCCAATAATTTTGTATATAATAAATTATTTTTGACATTTCACTAATTTATGAGCCTCTAACGTCTCATCTTAATAATACGGACTTAATAATACGATTCCTTTAAATAAATAATAATACATTATAATGGAACATTTGCTTTGGATACTTTTAGCGCACAAATTTTAAGATCATATTCCATTTCAAAGAACTAAGTATTAAAAAATCTTTATCTATTACGTCCGATCAACTACTTCATTAATTGCAAATTCATTGCGACGAAAAAAAATCATAATCACTACCATAATGACTTTCTTATCCATTGCATCATCAATACAATATATCCTTTTTTAAATATGAATTAATAGATAAAAAGAAAATAATTACATCAACAAGAAAGTATTCGTTCAAAAATATATATTAATTAATTTTATAAATTTTTATAAATACTCCATGATTTAACTTCTTCATTTTATAAACTATACGGCTTCTTATATTTTTACAATTTATAAAACTTAGAAATTGAAGAAGATATTAAAATTCTTTATGACAATATTCATTGATATTAGGTAGACCTAATTAATTCTAAGCATATCATTAATATTTTACTTCACAATATATTTTAAAAATTATATATTTTTATTGTATTTTTTAACAGAGAACCTCTATTTTGTTTGAAAATTGTATATATGATATAAAAATATAATTTTTCAAAAAATACTGAAAGTAGTATTTAAAATGTTTATAGCCCTATAAATTTTTATAAATATTGTCAAACTCCATCAGATAATAAGAATTTTGTTCATAATATTCTCTTAAAGATATTAATTCTAAGCGTAAAAAATTTATTAAACAAATCAATCGTTATGTCATGATGGATATGTTTAAACATCGCTTCTTAAGAATTATTTATTATTATATAGATCGTAGATATGAAAGTAACATAAAATGCTTTCCTTATATCTTAGAAAATGGAAACAGTAACAAATTTTCAATATTGTTAAAAATCATTTGATTTTTAAAAATTATCGTAGCATCTTTCTCTATTGAATGGAATTAGAACGTATCCGGCAACATTAACTACTCTAAATTAGATTTATGATATTATGTTCATATAACATGTACAACATTAGTACATTAGCTTCGCATTAATATAAAATTATATTCTAATTGATAATTAAAGTAGATACCAGAACATTGATAGAAAACGGAAAAGCCGACTAATATTATAGAATTTGTTTATGTAAATTTAAACAGGTATAAATTGATATTAAAAAATCAGTATTTATGTTAGCCGATAAATAATTTGATATTTCTTTTTCCATATATCCCTTGCGCCATTTATTAATTATCTGTTAATTAATATCAAATATACGACGAGTAATAGTCTAAATATTAATATAGGCACATACTTTTAAACAAAATTGAAATTTTTAATATACATTCATTATTATTTTTGTCTTTAATATCAACTCACATTATCATATGCTCAAACTTTTATTGCTGCTAAAATTTATAAATTATATAATAATAATATTTTTGATAGATGATTATTAAATTATATTTTTTGTATCGGTAAGCTTTCAAGCTCACATCGACAAAAACTAAAATTTTATCGCTTATTAACAAGTAAATTAATAATTTGTCGAAATTATAAAATAGCGTCAATGCATATCGGATTAATTTATCCAAGAGTTCTATTAATTAATCTCTCAATAATGAGATTTATCCTTTTGAAATAAAAGAATGATTCTTTTGAGGAATATTAAAATCAACTAATTAGTTAAACTTATAATGCTTAAAATTTAGAGAATATTTTATATTTTGCCATATGCAATGAATTGTGAATAAGTGATGAAGTAAATGAAATTATTGTGCAGATTTTCATTGATTTTTTTTTAAATATATTTTTCTCGAACGTTCATTACATATTCTTTCCAAAATTGCATGAAAAATTTCATTGTATAATATTATTGAAGTAATCCTTCAAAGTTAAATTCCATTATTAAATATGTAGATTTAAAAAAGAATAAAAATATTTTGTGAAAAATAACATCAAGATTTATTAGATAAATCAAGTGAATCACATAAATTATGACGTTAAGCCATTTATTGTAAAATGGAGACGACAAGCTTAAGAAAATGACAAGATCAATCAAATTATCTTTCATGTATGCTACATAGTTACCATCAGTTCATAAAATGTCGAGTTTATTATACGAAACTATTTGCCTTTTCTCCAGTCAACAATCACTATATCCAAAATTATTAATACGTCTAACCACTACTTGTACCACTACTTTTCAAATAAATGAATTGTGATATTAAAATGAATGATTTAATAAAATTCTAATAACAAATAAGTATTCGAACTATTGTTTTTCTTTTGTAGTAAAATTGCATCAACCAATGGATGGAAAATAGTAATCATACAATATTCGTTGTCAAATTAATTGTGTTAAATTTTTCCGTACATAAAAATATTCTCCGCCTATAATTTTTAATACATAAAATACAATTTTATATAAAATATATATAAATATAAAACATAATGCGATAAGTTTAGCTAGATGTTCTTTCAAACAATAATAATGAAGAATAATAGTCTCTTAATAGACTTATTTATATAATGACCTCAAAACTTCAAAATATTGTTTTCCATCGCATCGCACTCTGACATGAAGTCGTTCGATTATCTTTCTCGTATAATAATAATAAAGTACTTACATTGACTAGTATTTGCAAGGCCTCTACGTAGGAACGTTCGGTGTCATATAACTCGACGACCACATGAGTACGCGTATCCTGTAAACAATAATATAAGCTGCATTAGACTATCCGTTAATAGATGCGAAATTTAATAATATTTTAATATGCATTAGTAGAAAAAAGTGTCTGAAAGATGTACGTGATAACTTATGCTCGTATATTCGACATCGTTCCCATACTGTTTTGCCTACGAGAAAAAGTATAAATAAATCGAAAACAATATTTCCCCTATAATATGTTTCATAGATTAAGACGCAATTTTACAACTTAAAAAACTATATGAATTCAAATATATTTTAATGAAAAATAATATATATTATCTTTGTACGAAATATAAGTAATGTTTCTGTTATATTAAAAAATAATAAATGTTATATTATTTAAAATATAATAAGAAATTATTTAATTTCAATATCCGAATGAAATTCGCAGACTTTTTTTATAGTATATTTGAAAAATTAAAACAGATCGCTCCTTATTGATTTACTTATTAAATAATAAACCATTATTATCTGTAGAAAATTAAGTAGTGTGTCATATGTCGAAAGAAAGGCTTTTTATATAAGAGATAAAAAACAGTTTAACAATTGGAGACGTTTATTTTGTTTATAAAATTACGTACTAAATTTCTAATGCTTAAAACTACACATTGAATCATAAAATCTATATAAAAAATGCTAGAAATTTTGGCTTAAACAATATTATTAATATTTATTGTGAATTAGTTTATAAGTGTTTGAATTGTGCACTTAGCCAACTTTATCAAAGTAGTTTTGAGAAAAATGTATTAAAAGTCTTAAGCGTGCATATTTGTTGCAAAGCGCTTAGCATTATGGCCTTATTCAGATAATATATATATTTTTTCTGTTCTAAAATTGCCTGCTGACTACTCTTTATACATTGAAACATGTTTAAAAAAAAAAAAAAAAAAAAAAAAAAAAAAAAAAATTTCAATTTTTAAAAACATTTAAATTTACTTAACCATGTAAATGAATGCATTCAAAGTATCTATAAACTTGTAGATGATTGAATATTATTTTAAGAAATATAAACTTATAATCTCAGGCTGACTACTATCGAATTGTAATTATGCATTAGTCATTTAATAAATCATTTAGTAATCATACTAAATTAATAATATACATTAATAAAATTCTAAAATATCTCGAAGAAATTACACAAATTACTACAAATTCGAATACATTTATTTGAATAATTTTTCGTATGTAATTTAAAATTCTTTATATTAAAATTTGATAATAAATTAATTATATAATTATGCAATATCCGTTATTTCATTCTTCTTTTTTTTTAAAGTTTAATTATTTTCTATGAATTTTTTTCGCATCGTCCACATAAATGAACTAGTTTAACAGGTTTTGCTCATAATATTAGTTTTTTTTTATAAAAAATTTTAAAAATTTAAAACTTTTAATTTTTCAATAATAAAATACATATCTTTATAATGAAGATATAATAGAATTTCTTACGGCTATTTGTATTTTCAAACGATAGCATATTTCATATAATAAAACGATATAATGTTCGGAAGACCTAACATATAAAATACGACAATTTCAGAATTATTTCCTACTTTACCAGTAAATAAATTTTTGTCAAATTTGCTCATCGGACAGATTACTTTTTAATAATTAAAACTTCTTTATTACGGACAACTTAATTAGCTCGAATTCTCCCTTTTATCTGTTTGTACTCTATTTAAAGAACGTCTTGTTCACCTTTACTAAAAGAGAAAGAAAATTTTTCAAACAATTAGCTGTATATAAATAAAACTAAAGTTCTTTTTAAAGATAGATGATATTCAGGTCGTATCCCAATATATTATTTATAACAAATACCATGGAGAATTGAGGTCGCAGGACTCAATATTATTAAAGGATTGAAATGTTTGGTTGGAATTAGAAGACTAATCAAAATTGTAAGGTATGGAATAAAGAGAAACGTGATACTTTATAAGACTTGTGGGTCGTAACCAATTCGAAATAAAAACAGGCAACAGATCCACGGTGGATTTCCTCGTTACTCTGAGCATCAATACTCTAAATCCTTCTCGTCTCTCACATCCAGCGACATCAAAGTTTTACGTAAGAGCATGAATTTGGCCACTCGTATTCACAGTCTCGCACCACCCGCGTCACGTTACATATTCCACAAAAATTTTCTCATAGCACAGAGAGAAGAGGATAAAATTGAGTAGCTCTTCTCTCTCTCTCTCGCTCTAGAAAAGGGAAAAAGAACAATTGCAAGCGTAATCACGATTAACGAGTCCAACTCCCCGATCCCCCACCCCCAACCCCTCTGCCACAAACGCATACACCAACGACCCCACGACTCATACGCGTGGCCGTACGCAAGAACGACACGAGGCATCGGGCACACGTGCTTACAGAGGACATACGGGGATGACGGGGCGTCTAGACGCCTGGAACACGAGTCGCTGGTAGTGCTGGACTGAGTAAACGTGTGGCCTCCACGTGCGGCCAGGAGCCGTCGGCGGTTTTGAGATTTCCAAGCCGAGGAAGAAAACAGCCTCGTTGGCATTTCACTAACTGTAAATCCTCGTTAGCATGGCGATCGATTTGAAAGTAATCCTTTTCGTAACATTGACTGCTGTGATAATAGCCAGTGGGAAAAGAAGCATACGCGGACGAATGTGAGTTTAACGCAGAGATTATAATGTAATACTGAACTGAAAAGTAATTTTAGTTAACGACATGGCCTTTCCCTTGAAATGGCCATTAATTTCTAATAACCTGTCTTTTATTAACTTGCCGAATCGATTAATATTAATCTTTATTAAATTTGAAACAGTAAATTAAATTCCGAATTAATGTTGGGTATTCGTTAAAAGAAAATGAAACAAAAAAATAAAAAGAACATTTATAAAAGCGTATGTTAAAGATTATGATACGCCGAACGACTATTTGGCCCTTTTTTACCTAAATTAATGGATCGCATAAGAATGAAATATGCTTGAGGTAAGATATGATATGGATAAACATATTACTTTGTTAATTTATTTTATGACCCTATTAGTATGTAAATGCTAAAGCTTCATTCTCATTAATGGAAGAAACACATAGGCATAGGCTTTATACAAAATCTTAATCAATTTATATTACCTTTACAGCCATTATATTTTTAATTATTCATTTGTGAATAGTATTTATGTTTGTTTACGTTTAATCCGAATTAAATCTCGGATTACTTTGGCATAATTATAATTTTTTTTATCAAATTTGCTTGAAATATTTGATTGTACATTTATTAGAGCCTCTTGTTCAATGGATGAACATTTATGCCGTCTATTTGTAAACAATAATTAATAATGAAATTTTTTTTATAAGAAAAATTATAATGATTATTATTGTTAATATTGTTATTTTTAATAAAAATATGCACATAATGAAATAGAATCTATACAAAAATAATATCCATTTCCGGTTGTGTATAGCAATATTTCTATTTAATGCATCACATTGATAAACAATTTTCTTTATATTTTAAATACATAACAGTTTTCCAAACTTTTTATATACATCGTAATATAGTTTTTCTCATTATACTTTTCTCATTATATATTTTAAGATTTATAATGCTTGTACCTTTTATAAATAAAATCTTGTTATAATACAAAAATTATAGAAATATCGGATATGAAGAAATTTTTTATACGATTAAATATTAATTTGGGACATATTAATTTTATTGTAAATATTTATATATTACGGTTTTTAATAATTACATAATGATACTCAATACTTATAAATATTATAATCCATAATATAGAAATCTATGACTTACTTTTTTTTTTCAAACAAAAAAGAGAAAATGAAGTTATACAATATACTAATCAGTCGTTACTACCTTGTGTTTCGTGATTTTTTTGTTTGTGTTATTATTTATTTTGGATTATTTACAGAAAACTATTAAGAACCTGCTTATATTATTATAGAATTCTTTTAAAACATTCCTAATGATACAAATTAGTTAACAAAACAATTATAATTAGCGTTATATTTGAGGAAGGAGTATGAAAAATCTTAACTGAAATTTTATAATAATTATAACATATGTGAATATGAAATTGCATTCTTACAATGTTATCGTATTAAAGTACTTTGATATTTGACTGTCGATATAACGACGACGATCGTTAAAAGAAAATACAAATACCCTTTATATTTATTATATTTCTGCCATGTATTAAGACGAAAAACCAATTAAACGTCCCCGAAAGTAATCGCATATCACCTCGAGCCATCATTTATCTCGAAAAATATAGATTTTTACCCTACTTATTATTGATTATTGATTAAAAGAGTGCTTAATTTTTATTTATGATCATATAAATGAAAAGCCTCGCTCGACCCATTAAAGACGAAGTTAAACGATTGTGCAATAAATACAAAATGTTTATGAAACCACACATGTAAACGTATTTTCGAGAGTATATTCGACACTCAAATGAAAAACTGAAAAGATAAATGAACAAAAAAGCATAGAAAATATGAAGCTGAGTGGCTTCCAAGAGTCCTCAAACTCTGACAAGTCAATACCCACCGAGTCCTTTGACGACTGTCTGCCATCCTCGCTGTCAACAGACAGTTGACTGAAGAATCTGTATTCAACGCTCATCATCTTCGAATAATGTCCATGCACTATTGTTTAAGTCGACACTTTCACTCGACCGGAGTGAAATTATGAAAAAGAGGCGGAGACAAATTCCCATCAGTTAACGCATCACTAGTTCACTTATTGTGTCTATCCTGTACTGGTCTCGTTTATCACTCGACCGACGTCCGATTCTTTTTCCTCCCTGTCCAACAATAGTTAACCCCCACCCTTTAGTCCCAACATACACCGCACTAACTTCGTTACACGATTGTTCGACTTCTGACTCTACGCACATGGATTTTCAATTACATCTGACATATTTCGTGTACATATTCTTTTTTCGAAGTGCATTCTTTATCCGAAACTGCGGCTTTATGAAATATTTTATATTCTAGCTT